TGTTCTAACAATATCACAATGAAACGTGCGATATTGCCTTGTTTTTTGACAGGGGATAGATATATTAATTTTACCCAGTAATACTTCATCTTTTGTAATGTTGTTTACAAGCTTATATAAATACAGTATTTGTTGAAAGGAACGCCTATTATGTAAAGTTAATAAAGTGTTATTAATTAAATTTTGATGATAATTATGACCACTGCTATACTGCCCAGTAGTTATATATGTAACATGTTTAATAAATCTTTCTTGTACATTTTCAATTAACTGAATATATTTGGCATAATATGGGTTCCATACCACTGAGCAGTATTCCAGCTTTGACCTGACATAGCAATTTTGCGAGTTTCTTATGACAAAACCTAAATTTTTTACTGCCTGATTAACAGTACCAATAACATGTTTATTGAAGAAGGATAATTTCGAATCAAATAGTACACCTAGATCTCTTGCCTCTTCAACTGCCTGCAGATGAACACCATCTATGCTGTACATAAAGTTAATAGGATTGTTTTGCAATGTGTATGTCATTCGCTTACATTTGTTTATGTTAAACGATCATTTATTTCTTACTGACCAGTCTGATAAATTCTCTACTTCTTTAAATATTTTCAAGTCATAATGATGAGACTTTGTGAACAAAAAAACATATGTCAGTTCTACACAAAAAATTTTGCAACGATCGATCTCGGTTTTCGATTGACAGGATTGTTAATTAAGAAAATTTCAAAAAGTTTCTCGTGTACCGTCAGTTTATTAAGGTTTAGAAAGGGCACACAATTTTTTAGAGATACTTGTTGTCGTAATAAACAATAATCAATACTACAAATAATTATTTTTACACTTTTATAACCACTTAGATTTTTTTTAATTTTTCAACATTTTACTCTATAAACAATTATTTATTGCCATGGAATTTTCTATGCAATCGACAAAATCTTGCACACATAAAAACTACGTCGTAACCCCTTGCTTTTTAGTCAAATACGACAGCATTCTACTGTGTAGTTTCTGAGATATATTTGGGATTATACGTCTATAATTACAAATATCAAACTTATCTCCATCTTTCAATACCGGACATACTCTTGCAAGCTTCCAACGATCTGGAAAAGTTCTTGTGGATATGACTAAACTGAATATTATTAAATGTGGATTGGCAAACAAACAATAGGTTCAATAGCAAAGTAACACGAACCTTCCAATAGCCGCCCACACACAAGCGTTGTTCCTTGCCGGACGACATAGTGAAAGTATGCAACCGTATCTGTTTGCTGGCCCAGACGCTACACTACGGAGTTGTGGAAGCTATAAAGCAGGTCGTGGATGCAGTTCTAGTATCCACCTTAGAACATATGCAGCAGGAACATAATTATACATTCTACATACTATTCAGTTATAAGTAACTACGAAAACGGTGTAGTCGAAATTGAGAAGATTAATAATACACCGCCCCCTCACACGCGGGAACCTCAGCCTGGACACTGATGGTACCATAAAGGAAAACGTGAACTGTTCGATTAACTATAGCAGTTTAGTTATACAAAGAGACCAAAAAATGTTAGAAATAAATTAGGTAATCTCGTTCTGCAGGCGAGTCGGCAGCTTAATAACGAGTTTTATTTTTATAGGTGAAGGCTTTCTGGGTTAAGTCTCCTTGGTTATGTTAAAGACAGCTCTATTCGGTCGCAGCGCTTGTTACATAAGAACAACAAATGACTGGCTCGTATAAGAAAAGAAATTGCGAATTCCTTAAAATAAACGTGGGAATTCCGGCCAGGTCAATGCTTTTTACCTATTTAAGGCCGACAATCACGATAAACCGCTAGTTTTACGGTTTAATTCGATTTTAATAATTAATTATGATTTTCTCATAGGAACTGCAAGCTACAACCGGTACGAGGGTAAAAAGATTTGTTTGGTTGGGCAAGAGAAAAATATTCATTTAGTAAACACATTTTCTTGAAAATTTGGAGGATGAAAATAAAGAAAAGTGTTACCCCAAAATATTTAATGGCATTGTACTGGATTTAATCGCAAGGAAATGTTAATAGAAATATAGGAAACAATTGTTTATTGGGGTTTACAGATACTACAGAAAACTCATATTTTGTACAAAATATGTCCCAAAAATGGTAAACAATCCTATTATTATTGTCTGTCGGCCAATGAATAAAAGTATCGAATATCTATCTATATTTCAAGTGGTGCGGGCTGAGATTTATATCAACGAAATCAATAAAATACGTTTGTATTAGAAATCATAGCTATAAAAACTACAAAGCCTATTAAGTAAACATCGTAAATTTTATTATTTTATGACTTTTTCAAATATCAGGTCGGGTCGATTAGTAATAAATAAACAAATAATAGTAATGCGATTTATTAATCATCCGATTTTAAAAAGGCAAGTTATTAATAATAATAATTGATTACTTATTTGAAAAATTTGCCTTTAATTGTTCTTATATGCTTATTACATTTTAGTGCAAAGAAAAAAAAAATTTCACTACCAGTAACGGCGGTGACAACATTTTTAACAGTAAGGCGATGTTCTCAGTGGCGTACACACGGGGGGGGGGTTGTGGGGGTTCAAACCCCCCCCCCCCATGAGCTTTAACTTTTAACAATAATTATATACCTATTAAAATTTCCTATTGCCGTATATATTTTGTTGTTTCCAATATCGTCCTTGAATCGGACTAAACGTTGCAACGTCGCTTTTTAGTTTCGTCTGCTTCCCTGTGCTCTAGTTTCGTGCCGCGAAAATCTTACTGCAAAGTGTAACCCCCCCTTACAAAAAAGCTGTGTACGCCACTGGATGTTCTGCATTGCATTAGCTATGTCATGTCCAAATTTTGTTAGTGATTCTCTTTCGGTTGCTGAAATTCAATGCCTATGTATGTTTTCAGCCACGAAAATTGAATAATTCCAAATATTTTGTAATTTGGGAAAACAAAAAAAAGTCCCTTGGAATTAATTAGGCAAGTGGGACATTAAATGAAACTTATATTACCATATGCAACAATAATGACCTGCTTTATGTGCATTTTATGGAATCGGTTAACAAATAAACGACACAAACAATCGAGGGGAAATCCAATCAGGAATTACATTCAATTTTATTTGTTTAATAAAGTCATTGTTTAGAAATATACTGTGATTCATTGACCTTTACAGTATGGTAGATTTTTAACTTAATTTAAGGTTTAAAAACATAAAGGGAACATGCAGTTCCTGAAAAAGTCTAGAGTCAGACAATTATTATTATTATATACCAAAAAAATTACCTATATACATGTACACTGATACTAACCTTTATTGATAAACCATAAAAGTTTTCACATGACATAACTATTCCTGAATTTTTCTGTTGAATCCATATTTTAGCTGCAGATGCGTGTAGGTATGTATGTCAATATAAATTCTGTATATCACCAAAATACTTTAATTACACACTTTAGTGGCTTTTAGAGTGTAATGGAAAATGAACTTCCATACTCATGCACCCCTTGATAATTGTATCAAATTAAACAACACTTAATTTTCATTCACCACATACGGGTAATAAATCAAGCTGGAAATTGTGTTCAGATCTTGGGGTAGATAATGGTAAAATTATTAAGAGAATACATAATAAGGGACCGATATCGGTTTAAAGCCACCATTGTGCATCCAATTTAAAAAAGGGGTATTGTTACTAATCAAACATCAAGCACATTTCAGCGAAATTATTAAAAAAAAATACCTGTAAACCAGAACAACTAATGTTTACGACTTATAAATAATCGGTTGTTCCAAAAAAGTTCCCATGATGTCACCAGTAGGTATTAATATTCTATCTGCAAAAAATATCTCTGCCGATCGAAGGTATTCAAGTAAGTGCTAGTTTATAAACATATTATGAACGTGTCTACATTACTTTTTAGGAAAATTGACTACAACACCATACTATGGAGTATTCTATAACGATTACACTTACAGGGAAATAGACTTAGTTACTAAGCGCAGGTAGAAGGTCGTTAAATTTAAATTAATATTTTTTTAATCTATTATAAATATACGTCTATAACTAGTTTCTATTGTTCACCATATTCTGACCGAGCGAATAATCAGTTGTTAGTGATGTGGTGCTAGTTATAGGTTAAGAAAAGTGGTGATAATTCAAAATCGGACTACGCCGTGCAACTTCTTCATGTGTTGATTGTAAAAAATAGCTACAACGCTTATTCCAACGTACAGCAAAAGCTTCGCCATACTGTATAGAAAGTTTATACACGTACCTAGTTAGAAATTTTTGTCTGGGTCATGCCATTCTCTCATAGGTTATAGCAGCGATCATTTCCTGAATCTTGCTGTTACATATGTAGCTAAAAATTTGTAGGTATATGCATCTAGTGCAGATTTATGTAATTATAACTGCTTTAGTGTTTATTAATGGGAAAAGTACTTTCGATAACGTCGTTTTGAGTTATGTAACTTTTATGATTCATCTACGCTTAGGTGTTGCCTGGGAAGTATTGTGAATAATTATATTTGCTTGTATATAGTCGTACATGTCGATTCAATTGAAGGAAAAAAACGAACTTTGAATGCTTACGGATGCCATTTGGCCTTCCTAACGCTCCTGCAATATTTCAGCGTTATTAAACAAAGCATTAGTCAATCTTTAAAGTATTATAGATCTCGTATTGACGTTACAACCTCTTCTTTAACCATCAAAAAATGTATAAATATTACGAGCTTCATCATCCCTTGTCATATCTAGCTGGAAAATTTAATATTTGACACTGTATAAACGTCGAAGTTCCACTCAGGATTGATCGTGTTTGCAACAATGCATTTTCAATATTTCTTTCGTAATATGTTACCACTTTACAATGTTATTATTAGAAGAAGTATATTTTTGATGTTGTTTTAAGTTATGCAACTTTTATTAGCTGAGGTATTGGCCGCTAACGATCATGTGTTCATTATTGTTCGCGCGCTCGTGACAACTAGCCGTTAATTTTTAAGTGTCAAACTATAGTGAAGTATTGGGAATAACTATAATAAAGTGTGTAACGTTGTGGTGTGTTTGGATCCTTAACACGTTTAATTTAATTCTACAATACATTTATTTGTATACGGTATGTCCGTGGTTAGGGTGAATAAGAGGAAAAACTTTTTTATTTTACATTTTACGGAAAAACGGCACACTTGATAAAAAGTTTTGCTCGAATTTTCATGTCCAGAACATAAACAAATCTGAAAATGTCACGAGAGTAAACTTCCCTTATTTTTTATGTTTTTTTTTTCCTTAAAATGTAAAATAAAAAGTTTTTCCTCTCCAGAGAAAACAAAGTTCCCATAATTTTAATGTGCAGATGGATATACCGGATGTCCCGTTCACACTTTATAAAAATACTGAAACACTTGGGAGTGTAAGGAATTTTCGAAACGTTTACATTTGGCAAAATTTTTATAAAATGTCTATTAACTCGAAAACGGTTACAATTTTTATTCTATCTTGTCGAAATAACGAAGTTGACAGCTACTTCTGATATACCCGGAAGTGCTACGTTGTTGACATTATTTTCATTGAAGATGAATTGCCCGTACTTTTGGAAGACATCCCATTGCCATTAAGGTTGCAAATGTATTTTATGCACGATGCTGTTCCACCCCATTTCAGTTTAGCTGAACGTGAATATTTGAACAATATCTACCCAAATCACTGGATAGGTCGAGGAGGCGCTCAACCCTGGCCCCCGAGGTCTCCCGACTTAAACTCGTTGAATTTTTTCCTTTGGCGTCACCTCAAACAATTGGTATATACGACTCCAGTGCAAACCATAGACGAATTAAGAAACCGCATTGTCGCATCCTGTGAAACAATTAGACACATAGTCGGAATATTTTAACGGGTTTGTCAATCAATGTGTGGTAGGATAGATGCCTGTATTAGCGTTGAAGATGCACTGTTGTAACGCCTGTGTATGTAAAGTATTTTTCATATCATTGTTGTTTGTTAAATATTGTGTTTCTGTTAATATTAATTATTTAAAAAAATATTATTTAGTGAGTTATTGTTTCTCAGCTTGTTACATTGTTTTTGCTTCAAATGTATTGTTAAAGTTGATTAGTAAATAACTAAAACATTGAATTTCTATTTTTGTTTTCCACTCCCCTTAAGAAAGTGGATATGACAGGATATTAATTTTTTGCTCGAAAACGAAGCAATATATCAAAAAAAGTAAAGAGACAAAGAAGTTGTATTTTTAATCGCATAATTAGAAAAAAATATGACACCTAAGAAAAAACAGTGACGTCTCATATGTTTACTTATTAATATCAACATGAGTGAGTCCCCGGACACCGCCGGAATAGATAAAATAAATCAAATAACGTCAGAAGACGTCTACCGTTTTTATAAACCAACATACCAAATTTAAAAAAAATCGGAATTAGGGTTCTCCAGATATTAGTAAAAACCTTGTATTTTCTCTAAATTTCAACACCCTGTATCTCCAAAACGAAGCATTTCCGGACATGGGTTTATAGGAACTTTATTTCTTAATTTTGGTCAAGGAAACTCCTCCTGAATTTTTTCGCAATATTAATGGGACGCCCTGTATACAGGGTGTCTCACATTTAAATAGCAGGACTTCAGGAATCAGTAGAAGACCTCATTTTGAGTCTAAAAGTTCCTATATATATATGGGTCCTAAAACGCTTTGTTTCTGAGATACAGGGCGTTCAATTTTATTTTTGTTTTATTTATTTATTTTTTAACTAAATAACCGCTGACAAAAAAAATCATCATGTTGCGGCGAAAGACTTAGTATTTAAGGGCAAATAATTTGACACAGAAAATCATCGCATATTAGTTCCAGTGGTGGAGATAGAGGGGTCTCTATGCATATTTTTATAAAAAAAAGTATAGCCGATTTGATATTTTGCAAATGTTTTCGAAAAATATGAAAGAGCATTCAATTTTACCCAGAAAAGGCCCTCTTGTCCAAAGTCGATAGGAGGTGGCGTTTTCAAGAAAAACCGAAAATACTGTTTAGAAGTCAAATTAAGAAAAACCGAAAATACTGTTTAGAAATCAAATCAGACTTGAAATGTCATTCTAATATTGACATTTGCGCTTATTTTATTATAGTTTCTAATTGTGTGTAGAGTATTAAAAAAAATTGCAACAAATTCAAAATGCCGTTTAAGTTTACGAACCAAGAATACGCAGATATTCACTTCATATACGGGTTTGCCAATGGGAACTCGGCAGAAGCTGCTAGGGAATATCGGAGACGATTTCCTAATAGAAGACAGCCGCATCCACACGTTTTTATTAATGTTCATCAACGTTTCGCTAATGACGGATTGAATCTGGTCCATAGGGATCGCAACATAATTAACGTTAATATTGGCAGAAATAGGAGGAATCAGCGAATCTTGCACGAATTTGACAGAGATCCCACGACGAGTACCAGAAAAATTTCCAGGATTATTGGTGTTTCCAGGTGCACTATTTCTAGAACATTAAGACGAGATCATAGACATCCCTACCACTTACAACCTGTTCAGGGTTTACGTCCGGGTGACGAGGAACATAGAATAGCTTTTTCTCGGTGGATTCTTAACTCAATTGAAAACGACGGAAATTTTTTATCACACATATTATGGACCGACGAGTCATGTTTTACTCGTCGAGGTGTGACAAATTTACACAATCAGCATGAGTGGGCACATGAAAACCCGCATGCAATCAGACCACGAAATTTTCAGCACGAATTTAGTGTTAATATTTGGCTCGGCGTTTATAACAATTGTCTTTTCGGCCCTTACATCTTACCTCAACGACTGAATTCTGCGAATTTCTTAGAGTTCTTAGAGACCGAGAGTGCCAACATGTGGGAGGAAATTCCTCTGAATTTAAGAATGCGAGCATGGTTTCAACTTGATGGCTGTCCAGCTCATTTTGGCCGAAATGTCAGGAACTGGTTGAACACCCACTTTCCCGAAAAATGGATTGGCCGCGGGGGTATCGTTGCATGGCCTCCCCGATCCCCTGATCTGACACCCCTAGATTTTTTCCTCTGGGGTTTTATTAAAGAGAGAGTTTATACCACTACTGTGGACACAAGGGATGAACTTATTCGTCGGATTCGGAACGCATGCAGTGAAATCAGAGACAATAACTTAATTCAAATGAGACGTTCTATTCAGCGTCGGTGTCAGTTATGTATCGAAGAAAATGGTTTACATTTCGAACATTTGCTTTGATGTAATATGGTTTTCGTTATTTATTTTTGTATTTATTTTCATTTAATTAATTAAAAACAATTTTAACCGAATTTTTGAACTACATATTTAATTTAGTTGTAACACAATGTTTAAAAATTATTATTTGACTTCTAAACAGTATTTTCGGTTTTTCTTGAAAACGCCACCTCCTATCGACTTTGGACAAGAGGGCCTTTTCTGGGTAAAATTGAATGCTCTTTCATATTTTTCGAAAACATTTGCAAAATATCAAATCGGCTATACTTTTTTTTATAAAAATATGCATAGAGACCCCTCTATCTCCACCACTGGAACTAATATGCGATGATTTTCTGTGTCAAATTATTTGCCCTCAAATACTAAGTCTTTCGCCGCAACATGATGATTTTTTTTGTCAGCGGTTATTTAGTTAAAAAATAAATAAATAAAACAAAAATAAAATTGAACGCCCTGTATCTCAGAAACTAAGCGTTTTAGGACCCATATATATAGGAACTTTTAGACTCAAAATGAGGTCTTCTACTGATTCCTGAAGTCCTGCTATTTAAATGTGAGACACCCTGTATATAGGAACTTTTAGACTCAAAATGAGGTCTTCTACTGATTCCTGAAGTCCTGCTATTTAAATGTGAGACACCCTGTATACAAAATAAATCATATGTGGTACGTTCCGTTTCCAGTCAATTGAATACAGCACATTTAATACCGAATCAAGTCCGAATAACATTCAGTACAGAAAAAACTGAGCGAACTGGTAGAAGCGATTGTGAAAGCTGACGAGACAGACAACAGAATCGAACACGAAAGTCGGATCCGGTGCCGAGGCAGGGAACTTTGTTTTCAACCACAACCGCCTAAAAGCTGAAGCGAGCGTTAGGCAACATTTTGCGGCAACCTAAAGATAAGTGATAGTTCTACGATTATCTCAGGTGACATTTACAACAGAGAGTTTTAACAGCGCATAGACGTAGGTATTTCCAAGTGTCTCGACCTCGCGCAGTGTGTTTATCAACCTTCGGACGTACCGACATGGCGCACCGTCACCACAACTTCGAAATAGTCGAAGTCGACGAAAACCAACCGCCGCAGAACAAACGCCTGGCCTGCCTGAGGGCCAACGCCCTGACCATCGCGACGGTCGTCGGGGTGATCCTGGGCGCCGTCGTCGGGATAGTGCTGCGACAGACCAAAGACCACTGGACGGAGAGGGAGATCATGTACATTGGGTACGTGGGGGACGTGTTTCTGAGGATGCTCAAGTCGCTGATCCTGCCCCTCATAGTATCCTCCTTGGTGTCGGCCATCGCGAGCCTGGACCTGTCGCTTTCCGGGAAGATAGCGGCGAGGGCGATCGCGTATTACCTCACGACCACTTTCGCCGCCGTCATTTTGGGCATGGTGCTGGTGGTTACCATCAGGCCGGGAGCCGGGCACAGCGCGGACGTCGGCGCGAGCTCACAGGAGGAATCGAGGAACGTGACCACTGTCGACACGCTGCTGGATCTAGTCAAGTGAGTGAATCGAAAAGTTGTTTGTCCCACGCCACCATCGTTGATACTAGAAATCGACTGCCTATAGGCTCGTTTTGGTTCCGACAGGGAACGGTTCTAGGTTGGCCGTTTTATTTTTAAAACAACTGAGCGTAGACGTATCGACAATAAACACTAGTCACAGAAATTAAGGCACGTTCGCAAATTTTTAGAAATTGAACCTTCAAGTTTCTAGTCTTCGAATCTTTAGAAAACAAATTTGTTTTACAACAATTAACGTTTTTCTGATCAAGAAAATATGAAGTATTGCTAAAAAACCATTTTCAACCTAAAAAGATGAATAAAAAGTGAAAAATTACTCGTTACATTCATTTTCAGCAGAAACAACAAATTTAAACATTCCAGGCACTATCTTACTTTTTCCAACCAACTTTTTCACTTCGAAAAAAATGTCTTTGTTAAAAACCAATAATTGAAACTTGTACAGAATAATTTGCAGTTTTCAAAACCATACTTGGATTTTCTGTATGATCATTATTTCCCGAGTAATTGATTGCCAAAGTCAAAATGACTATTTTGCTTTGATCGATGATAATTGAGCAAAAAATGATCGTCCGGAACCGCTCAAATTGAAGGGAATTAAATTATCTAAAAGAGTTTTATGATAAAATTACCAAAAAAAAAACCTTGAAGCCCATGACCCTTTTAAAGACAAGCAAAAACTTTTTTCGTTGGTTTTCTTATGATTACTCAATAACAGCTGATGATGAAAACTTCAAAACCCAGATCGGAAAACTAGAATTGAAGCTTCAATATCCTTATTTTTTATGCTCTCTACGACCATCTCCCTCCAAGTCACAGCTCTTTGAAAATCACCAAAAAGTTTTGGTATTTTTTTTTAATATTCCTTAATTTTTATGAATAATGTAGTTGTGTAACTTTCCTAAACCATTCAGACGTATTTTCTGACAGAACCAAAACAAGCGTTATATTTCACATTGCAATAAATAGAAAATAGGGCCGTTTTTATTCCAATACATTTTTTAAAAATAGTGGAAAGAGGCTTTGGGTAAAGAATAGACAAAAGCAACACAGTAAAAATATGTGATCTAAACACTTAACGAATAATTATCTGAAATAAATTATTTGTTACTTTCTTGTTTTCTAATGAATATACTGATCAAAATTTCATTCACGTTTTGTTCAAAACTTCCTTATTTAATAAGCCGAGTTGGAAAAAAATTAAGGTATTTTCATCCATCTATCAAATTTGTATGTTTAGTTCATGTCAAAATAGGCCGTAGTTCGTTAAATTTTCGAGATAAGGTGTTAGAATTAGTAGCAGGTACTCAATATTTAAGAATATGTCCTACGGAAAAAATGTAAACAACTATTATTGTGAAACATTTAGTAAATTTCAAGACAATTGTTTTCCAGTTTTTAAATAAAATAAAATATGTCGAAATATGTCGATTTTGTAGTACGAAGATAGTGTTGTGCTTAAATTTTAGCTCGAATTTTAGTAATTATGAACTTAAAACATGGATTTCATTTTTAATAAAATTATGAATTTGAAAAATATGTAATTAAAGTACCCAAAGATTCACATTATCCAAATAATCATACGTATTAAAAATACCTTAGGTATTTAGCAAAAAGCAACATTCAGTAATTTTTAAACGTACAAGTACAAAACAAACTACAACATAAGCTCAAAATGTTCACATCAAGAAAAGGAAATAGTGGTACGCAAAAACACTCAAACACTGTCCAATTCCAAATACCAACTGAATTGCATATTGCTGGACAGCTTAGTACTTCGTGTTATCTGTCGTGCCGTTGTCACATTGCTCGATATGGATTTTATCGAGTTTTAAATTTATTACAACGCTAATTATTTTTTAGAATTAAGCATGAAGTTAAAAAAGTGATAAACATTGTATTTTATAGTGTTCTATGACGCAGTTATGTCAATATTCCTTAATTAATTGAACTTTTGTACATTAACTTGGAGATTTTGATAATTTTTTTCTCGGAAATGGTTAAGTTTAGGACCCATGTCATATAAGGTTTTTTTTGTTTATTTTAATGTATTCTATCGTCTGTTAAAATTAAGGCAGTCAAACTTCTAAGACCCTGTTTAACGCAGGAAAATATCGGGAATACTAAGAATGAAATAGCTGTACAATTTAAGACGAGACGGTGTTTCAATTTCTATCCTTAAATTAAAAAATAACACGTCTTTGTCGTCGCCGATTGCCGAACGAAATTTACATAACGCTAGCTTTGCGAGCAATAAGTTTTTTGTAACATGCTGAAATTCCATCGAGCAAAAAACGTGAAAATATCGATATTCAATTACAGCGGTATCTGAACAGTCCACACTTTTGCCATGGATAATATACGCTTCATTAACTGGCACTAGAATCTCTTACAAATATAAATCAGTATCAAAATACTTATTCTCTCTTGCACCCTGTATATTCTGTAAACTTAAATTTCAATGCCAGCTTCTACATTGGGGATATTAATGAATAATAAGCGTATAATTTAAAAAAAATAGGTCGTGACACTCTGATTAGCCGTTCGCGAGAAATTCAATTTTGAAATTGTGGTCCTTTAAAATTTGAACATACTGTTAATAATTTTATATTTTCATCTAGACACAGAGAAAATTCTTTTACTATTTTGAAATTCCATTTTCTTCTTATCATTCTCCAGAAATGGGCAAAATAAAAAGAAAAGGAAAATACATGGTTATAATTGCACAAACGATAAACACTGTACAGTAATATTCATTTATTCCTTAGAACCGTTCAAGGTTTTTAGATATGGTATGCTAAAATTACCACAACAACAAATAACTTAAAGGTTGAATAAAAATGAAAATAACATACACAGACAATCCTGTACAGCACTTTAAAAATTTTTTACAAGTCTAACAATTGTTTACTTCAACTCAGTCTTGATGCTGTCTGTATATGAAATTTTTTTGCAGGAACATGTTTCCTCCAAATCTTGTGGAAGCCTGCATTTTTCAGGTAAGGGAGACTAATTTGTAAGTACCGACGAACTATTTATATTTTATAAGTACGTTAAATCTGTTTATTTTTTTACTTAACTTTTTACCAATTGTCATGGTGTGAATATTTCGACCTTCATTCGTATATCTCTTGCGTGAATTATTCTTGAAAACAACTGAGAAGAATTAAATTCCGAAAACGGTCCTAGATTTGTGTTATTTGTCATGGTTTAAAAATATATCGACCTTCATTCTTACCTACATTTCCAGTACTTGGATGTAAAAAACAAACCTAAAATTAGTTTTAAATCGAAGGCAAAACTTCTGTTACAACTTTTTTGTGTACAGGGTGACCGATATATCCTGGGAAAAGCGTTTTTCTTCAAGAAAATCAAATTCTGAATAACTGCAATGGCAAAAACCCATTTCCTGACACATCAATCTGTGCATATAGCTGCCAAGAACAAATTGTGTTGTGTATAAATCTGCTATACAGGGTGATCCATTAACGGTATCGAGCGGCTGTATATACTATATATATATATATACAAATACGACCAAAAGAAATTGATTTAAAATATTTTCAAGTTTATAACTTCACCGCTAGAGGGCGCAACTGCTATAGTGTTACAGAAAATTGTCGGATTTTCGAAATTTCGCTTATATAACCTAAGTTGCAAATACATTTTTTAGATACACTGTTAAACCCTTCACAGGTTTTGTTTGAACTTTTTTTTTGTTATTACCATAGCAACGCTAGTAAGCAGGACGCCATCTTGAACTTTCTAAACTGTCATAACTTCTGAATGCCTTAATCGATTTCAAAGAACGACGGCTCATTTTAAAGAACTATTAATAAAATTTATTTTTATGATATAGGAATAAAAATATTATTTTCCTGCGTATATACAGCCGCTCGATACCGTTAATGGATCACCCTGTATATTAGTTATAATTACTGCGGCATGTGCACATTCAGTACACACAAAATCCACTTCTATCTACTAATGTGCTAATATTTTAAATGCATAATTCACTAAAAATATTGATTAAATACAATAATTGAAGGTACTTATAAGAAAAACACCGTCCGCGAAAATAACAAATCGGCACAAATACGTCAACCCATCGTTATGTTGCGCTTCCTATGGCTCTCAACAGAACCGTACTCAGTTCACTAATGTAAATATGAACATGACCTTACGAAATATTTCGCAACCGGCTGTACAGGGTGGTTCACAAATAGTGACCAAATATGAAACCTCGTATTCTCTGGAGAATTTTAAGGGGAGTCTGTACTGAACAGTTTTTATCTAGGATGCTTCGTTGAAAAGATGTTAAATTTCAACAAATTTTTTTATTTATTTTTCAATAATTTAAAAACCAGTAAGTGAAATAACCATGATATTTTCGATTTGGTCTTTCAGTTTTCTAGTTGTATAACACCCTGTACTTTTTAACCTAGAAAAAAACTTTACAGAAAAAACTCTTCTTAAAATTCAGCAAATACGAGGTTTCTCCTTTGGTCAGTCACCATCTGTGAATCACCCTGTATGTTAAGAATAACGATTCAGGATTTTTTCAGTACCGTACAAATTTAGTGGCACCAGACGACAACGAGACAGGTATTTCAACGAATGCATCCAACGTTTCCTCCAACTAATACCCAAAAAAAATTTCAGACCTCCACAAATTCAGCATCGAAACAGAGACGGTACAAACGATGAACATCCTGGGCTTGGTTGTCGCTTCTGCGGCGATCGGAATAGCCATAGCCCAGGTGGGGGAGGAAGCGCAAACCATAGCCAACTTCTTCCACAATCTGATGGCCATAATGATGAGGATCACCACCTGGATAATCACGCTGTCGCCGGTCGGTATCATGTTTCTGGTGGCCGCTGAGGTTTTGGAAATGGACGACATTGCCTCGGTGATGAGCAGCCTGGGGATGTACTTCGTAACGGTGTGTGTCGGATTGTTCTTGCAGGGATTCGTCGTGCTGCCCCTGTTATATTTCGCTCTGACGAGGAAGAATCCCGTTAGATTCGTTACCAACATAGGGCAAGCCATCGCCACGGCCTTTGGTACAGCGTCCAGGTATGGAAGAGACCAAAATAAGATAATAATGTTCTTGGAATAATTAGAATGGATCAGAAAAAAAAAATCATATAAAATCACTATCAATGCAATTATTCGAAAGCGTTGAGCAAAACCAATCTATCCTACAAAATTACTAGAATCCATCGGATACCCTGAAGAAAAGCCACAAATTGCACCTCTGCATTTAATAATTCCATTAGTTTTAATTTATGCGCTCGCTGTATACAGGGTAGCCCATCGAAAACGTACCGCAAGGCATTACAGGGTAGTAATGAACTTTTCGGCAAAATCCAAAAACAGGTAAAGTTTGCTTCTGAGGGGGACAACTTTTGGCGCAAAGAGCAAAATCTTCAACCCCCTAAGTGGGGGTGCCATCCCCCAAATTTTTTTAAATGGGAATGGGGGTCAAGTGGGGGGTCATTAGAAAGGGCTTTTAATTCTCTATACATCGATTCTTACTTTTTGAAAATCGATTCATTATTTTAGAAAATATGCAGCTTTGAAAATACGAACAATATTTTTGACGAGAAATGCGAAAATCGATTTAATTTTACTTCAAAACTTACGGTATTAGTCAAGTAAATGCTGAAAATGTTGTCCGCCAACTTGCATACAATGATACAGGTTGTCTTCAAACCGTTGTCGAACATTCTGGAGCACTTGCGGTGTTACTTCGCGACATACATTAATGATTCGTCCTCGCAGATCTTCCAAGGTATCAGGTGGAGTGCTGTAAACTNGGGGGCACATTAAAAGCAAAGTTTACAGCACTCCACCTGATACCTTGGAAGATCTGCGAGGACGAATCATTAATGTATGTCGCGAAGTAACACCGCAAGTGCTCCAGAATGTTCGACAACGGTTTGAAGACAACCTGTATCATTGTATGCAAGTTGGCGGACAACATTTTCAGCATTTACTTGACTAATACCGTAAGTTTTGAAGTAAAATTAAATCGATTTTCGCATTTCTCGTCAAAAATGTTGTTCGTATTTTCAAAGCTGCATATTTTCTAAAATAATGAATCGATTTTTAAAAAGTAAGAATCGACGTATAGAGAAATAAAAGCCCTTTCTAATGACCCCCCACTTGACCCCCATTCCCATTTGAAACAAATTTGACCTGTTTTTGGATTTTGCCGAAAAGTTCTTTACTATCCTGTAATGCCTTGCGGTACGTTTTCGATGGGCTACTATGTATTTACCACTAATGCTTGATTGCAACACATCAACCTTAATAGCACCGGGCCCCAAGGGGTACCCTGCAATACCTCGAAAACTACAAGCGGTTAATTTGCCGTTTCTTACATAAATATGGAAAGTAATCTATCGCGTTAATAATGGCTGAATATTAATTAATGTGACAGGATCGAGAACACCGTTTCTGTCACTCAAACCTGACACTGTATCATAACATTTCCTCCAGTAAACACAACATCGCTATGTTAAAATGCTGTCCGTATTTGTACAAGACTACAACGGTTTGCTCGAGGCAAGCCTTATATTACTATTTACGTCTTTTTTATGTAACCGCTGATCTCACCTCATTTTAGAGATATTTCAGGAAATCGCATTATGTAACCCGAAGGAACCTCACACTAAAAAAACCTTGCTCGACAAGAAACTGCTTTGTATAACCGTGTTAACTGGAACCGCTGGGTAAATTAATTGCCGACATTATTTGCTTTAGACAAAAATTCTCCGCAGATCTACTTCTTCGATATAATATATGATAAAATATATATCTATGATATATAACTTAAAATCTAATACGACCATACAGGGTGTTTCAGAAAGACCTCCCGTAACTTCTGATTTTTTTGTCATATGAACTATATGTCTATCTCCTCTTGTTTTCGAGATACAGAGCGACAAAATAAAATTTTTTAAACAGATTTTTTACGAAAATTTCCAAACGGTGCGAAATATTTCTATGAAATTTGGTTACGCTACGTTCCTATTATATTTTAGGTTTTAATTTTTTTTAGGTTAAGTTTTTTACCATTCGGGCTGCAATTTCTAATGTACAATTTTATTTTCTAAAAATAATGTACTCTTGTTAGAACTTCCTAATGTGGACGGAATAAATTTTACATTTAAATCGTAATTAAATAGCTAACAAAATATTGAAAAAACAAGTTTACTTTGCCTTAATTTGTAAATAGAATAACTTTATGAATAAAAGCTTCATTTATTTATTTAATAATAGTAAAATAATTGAAATTTTAATTAATATTTCGTTTAACAATCATTTTTGTGACATTTTTGTAAATTAAAAGAAATTAAGTATAAAAGATGAATTTTTTCTGGGGTTCAGGGCTATTCTATGAATTTGTAAATATACCCATTGTTATTTTTTCGTCGAGCTATCCCAGTTTAAAAAAAAAATAAGTTTCTACGATGAATAGAAGCCGAGATATTGCAAAATTTACAGCGCGCATCAATTTGAACTTCCCCCACCACCACGCCGCCGGCCGCCGGACAGTTTACTTAGCGTGTACCTTCTCTTTCTTTAAAGAGCCCTTTGGCTCGTGAGTCGTTAATTTTCCACATTTTTCAATGCAATTCACGGGAAATCGTAGTTTACGTCGTAAACTTTATTTTGCGAAAAATTCAAGCCTTTAATATTTATAAACAATTGCGTTACGATTTAAAAAAAATCTTATCTTGGCTCCTGTTGGTCGCAGAGGGTACTTTTTTTTATTTTAAAATTGTATTTTTTTGCCAGCTATCCATTGCATCTATTTTCGGTGAGTTAGCATAAATAGCAACAATGTTATTCAAATTGTTTATAAGCGAAAAACGCACGATTTTTTAATGCACAATTTGAGAATGTGAATGTCAAAGAAACGGTGATATCTTTTAATAGGTCGCTTAATTACGTCTTTAAGATTACAATGACGCTTTCAGAATCATGTTTGGTTGAAAATTAACGACTGTACAGAGGCTTAAAGTTCATAACTTTTGGAGCCTCCGTTATAAACAAATAGAATTGTGCGAAAACTACTGCACCTACAGCGCCCACTTTTGGCATACTTTTGAAGTATGACAAAACCCTCAACTTGTCATAGGTTTTATAAAATTTTAACAATAAATGCGATAGTTATAAACAAATTAAAAAATGGGCACTTTTCTTGTTTTTTTTTGCAATAACTTTTTTGTTTATTAACCGATTTTAATTTAACAAGTCTCCCTATAAGCTGTCTGTGAGTCACTTTTTGTTAAAATTGATGGTTTTCCCTGCAAAGTGAAAAAACTGTTTTCCTCACTTATTTGTTTAAATAGAAAAGTTAGCTAATAAAAGTATTTGACTCACGAGATGAGAGATGTCTTGTATTATGTTCCTTTTGACAATTTTACAATAATATCGCGGATAGGACTTTTTTTCGAGTTTCTCTTTTATTTTCGCTAATTGTCCTCGTGTAAGTATTACGGTGAAGAAAATAAGTGACTTTTCTTAAAGAAGTATATATACATACATTCTCAGTAATATTTTAAACTCTCATTAACTTTATATCAAAATTTTAGTGACTGTTAGTGACTGTTAGTAATGACTAATTATAGTCATTAAAATTTTGACATAAAATTAATTAGAGTTTAAAATATTACTGAGAATGTATGCGTTGTTTATGAGACATCCATCAGTAAGTTTTGACATAAGCCTACTTTGAGAAAAGTCACTTATTTTCTACACCGTAAGATTGAATAGAACTTAAAATGTAATACGAATGGAGCATAACTATAGCCCTCTATAAAATAAACAAAAAATAATTAGACCACGATATTTGACGTCCTCAAAATCCCCGGAATACCAAATTTCATAAAAATATTTCGCACCGTTTGGAAATTTTCGTAAAAATTCTACTAAAAATTTTTTTTTGTCGCTCTATATCTCGAAAACAAGAGGAAATAGGCATATAGTCCATAAGACAAAAAATTCTTATTTTTTGTTGTACTATCACCCCCAGAATTTACGGGAGGTCTTTCTGAAACACCCTGTATATAAAACACAAAACAAAAACGAAACCAACAATTACCAACTCAAAAGTGTTGACAATTTGACCCAGATTACTGTAAATTATTTTTTCATTATTTTTCTTTAATTATAATAATTGTCATGTGTTTAAGTTGACATTTTTCACTGAACACAATTTTTTTCCAGTTCCGCCACCTTGCCGCTAACAATAAAATGCCTAGAAGAAAACTTAGGCATCGACAAAAGAATAGCCAGATTTGCCCTCCCAATTGGAGCGACCATAAACATGGACGGCACTGCTTTGTACGAAGCAGTGGCGGCTATCTTCATAGCTCAAGTTAGGAACGTCCCAATGGACATCGGAACTCTGGTGGCAATCAGTATAACCGCCACTGCTGCCAGCATTGGCGCCGCTGGGATACCCCAGGCCGGGTTGGTGACCATGGTTATGGTTTTGGACACGGTGGGACTGCCGGCTGAGGACGTCAGTCTGATTCTAGCTGTTGACTGGCTGCTGTGAGTACTCCGCATATATATTTTTTTATAAATTATCACACTCATTTAACCAAATGGTAAAGTCCTTTTATGTGAGTCAATCTGTTCTAACATGTGATGCCACTCATACGAAAAATACTAAATCATAAAAATCTGATATAAAAACACCGTCGACAAAGCAAATACAATAACGGTCCTAATAAAAATTATTTTTATTATTCGTTTTACTGCCGCATTGCCGTTATTTGATTTCTGATAACACTTTCAACGATAAAACTGAGTACGAAGAATTTTTTTTACGTTTCAGAGACAGATTCCGGACAGCAATCAACGTGATGGGTGACGCTTTTGGAGCCGGGATTGTGAACCATCGAAGCCAGAAGGAATTAAACCAAATTAAGAAGGACTCTCCACGTGCCTCTGTAGAAGAGAAAATAAGACCAATAGATACGGAAAAAACGAATCACGTCTCTCAAGAAAGCACCGAATAAACGACAGAAATAAATAAATTAGTAACAATAGCTTATAAAGGAAGGAATATTCCAAGTTTTTATTCAACCTGGTGCCATTTTGGTTTGTTTTATCGTTAAACATAAGTAAACATACGTATTTTTAAATGTAATTTTTGTATACATATGAGAATATATTTTCTATATTAATATAGGTACTTCTATTGACACATGTATCTTGTGCTAAATAAAAATTGTAAGTTGTACTAATAGTGAATTTTTAATTAATTTTCGATCGCGCTGGGCGCTGGGGTGGTCCGATCGGAGTGGTTTTGGTGTCGCGTGTAGATTGGACCTTTCTGCTTCTAATAGAAGTGGTCTGGGCATTTCACGATGATAAATGGCTACTTTATAAGACTTTGACAATGTTTAAGTGTGATTTTGGGTTTTCAAAAAAAAAAACCTTGATTGAGGGTATGGGGAAATGCCGCAGGACATCACACCATAAACGCAAATCAATTTGTGCATAGTATACCTCTTTAATTTGTTCCTTATCCAAAAATGGTCTAAAATTTCGAAATAAATATGTCAAAGAATAAACTTTAGATATTAACTTTCGCAATGATACTTCTAGTTAAGACATTCATTTAAAGTGAATACCAAGAAACTTTTCTCGAATTTGCTCAAATGTGCTCAATATTATTTATTTGCAGTAGAAAAAGAATGGGACTCAAGGATGATCCTTGAGGGACATCCAAGAAAAACAGATTTTAATTTATCTTATTGGCGGTAGAAGCTAAGAAAGCTTAAAAAGTATTTTTGCGATTTTCGATTTTCAGTTTCATTAAGCGAATTGTTAATTGTTGTTTTGACATTGTACATTAGATTAGATTAAAAATCAAAATCAATGAATTTATTTTTTCTTATTTTTTATGAAAATCTCTAATAGTATGTATACAGGATGTCGGGAATTCAATGGACAATGCTTCAAATTTTGTTTTCGACATTCAAAAAATTTATCATTTCATTTATTTAAGATAATAGGGATTTCGATTCAAATAGATTCAAATCTACACATTTTCTCATGTTCTTAGTCGCGATAATTTTATTTTACCCACCTGCAACAAGAGAGATCGACAATTAATAACAATAACACAGGTTGTGAGACCAATTGTGTAAACGGTTTAACTGTGCTTGTAAGTAATCTTTGTTTCAGTTACATTTTCAACTGAAATAGGCTATTTCTCAGGTACTATGAAGAAATCAAGACTATAGAAAGATTAGATAAATCAGGGAATAGCTCCATATCTATGCATACATCTAAAATCTATGATATCAGGAAACAAAAGCTTTCTTATTGGTAGGTACACTGTCTACAGCCAACTGTGATTGTTATTTAGAGAATGTAATCATGGAAATCATGTTCCATTTTTATTTTTTCCTAGACCGTAAGTTTCGCCTGAATCAGATTTTCAAAACAGCAATAACGTCAATAATATGCTGCCCAATTGTACAGCAGATTTAAAAAAATATTTACAGCATAAAATAATAAATTATCAAGGCGTTTCATAATAACGGAAATGCGTTTTCTGTGCTACTTTCTTGAATAATAATAAGTACAAGTTATTTAGAATTTTAACAAATAACAAATTAGTTGCGTTACTTATTACACATAAATCTTCTGCGAAAATAGTACAAAAATTGGCGATCTTGAATTTGTTTCCTTTTCGGTATTATGGTAAATTTGGTAACCTAATCAATTTGATACACAGTAATTGATTCGCAACTATTTTTTTCTGTTTTATATCAACAAACGCTTAAATATCCATTGTTAGACTTGACTGTTTGTCTTTACTGAAATATAAGCAAGGGACAAGTTTTCCTTAAAATTATCCACTTTAGATTGTAGATTAATTATATTAGAGCAGTGTGTATATTACGATACATTAATTACATTTAAAGTTTGAGCTTTCTCGCCATATTCATCCAACCAATGACTGAGTTGAGCACTCAACCTATCAGGCTATATTACCCAAGCGCGGAAACTACACAGTTTATCCATTTGAGGGGCATACATTGTAGTGTCTGTAGTCCTCAGTCTAATCGTAAGAGAAATCACGGATTTGTGTGGTAGAAGAGGCGGCGTACTAGTATCTACTCTCACAGAAAATTCTTTCTTGTTTCTTAAAATGCTTACAATCAGGGCTCTCTTATCTCGGAGTTATTTTTCAGTAACAATACAACTACTGATAAAATGAAGTTTACAGAAACATAACTTGTACTGATAGCGACGCAACATTCACTTCCAATGCATTAAAAAACCAAAGCTTGACCGCCTTGATTTTTCAGCATATGCGGTTTGTTTATTTGTTCAGTGTGTTTTGTAATCGTATGCAAATTATTAAATTACGTGGTAAATATTGTTTTAAAGCACCTAAGGTTAGTCTAGGTCGTGAGAACTGATGGAATTCTACCGCTATTATTGTGTACAGGGTCGTCAAGTTATAATGTTACTAGAAGTAGACAAAATCGTCAAAAATGTAAAATTGTAGTTATTGTACAAGTTGTTGAACTGCAAAATAGTTTATACAGTGTGTAAAAGACCTTCTAATTATCATAAACTGTATTGAGATCCCAATCCAAGTTCAAATTTGTGAACAAACATTAAAAGGTTTCTATGAATCGGTAGATCTAAAAACATTTCAATCGTTAAGCCACATAAACAGTAAAGGACTGTTAAAAATGTGAAAAGGGGTTAACTTTGAAGACAGAGAATACGTGTATAGGCAGAAAATCATGTTGATTTAATTAAAATTCTCAAAATTAAGTAAAATTTATTGAAAGTTGACAAAATGTTCAAAAAAATTAATAGAATCTAATTATAGAAGATCATGGTGATTAGAACATGCATAGGGTCAGTATTTTAATATAAAAAAAATCTCAAAAGTTTGGTTGACATTTCCATAGTAACGAGTCATTTGTTTTAGATTCAATAAAAGGAAAAATCGAGCTCAAAGTAGCCAGTCTCGCATAAATTTCCAAGCAAGAAACATCGTCAAGTTTGTACTTGAAATAACAAAAGCACATCAGTTATAGTCAACAAGTCAGTTAAAAATTACCTAAATTTCCACACACTGCTAAAATCCATGAAAGTTTTTTACCACAACGAGTAGTCCATATAAAGTTTTGACATTTACATTTGAACAAAGGATATATTGTGCAAATAATAAAAGTTAAGAAAATCATAAAGTAAAGTGGCAGCAGTATAGTTCTACGAATTCATGTATGAGTTACAAAACGTCCAGCCAACGATACCTATGAACCGCAGTTAGCAGTGGAATGCAGCTTAGATCCAGAATTCAACTACGAAACCAGCGGAACGAAGCAGAATTGTGAGTTGAAATAATTGCATGCAACGTAAAAGTAAAATTTATTTTTTTAAAGTTTGATATGTCGACATAGTTTTCAAATCATAGCATTGCAAATACAGATAAAAGTGGGAATTTAGGATAATAATTATATGTATATTTAGATTAAGGAGATAATTGTCAATTATAAAATTTCACTTCAAAAATTGTAATATAATCAGATTTGTTAACTTTGAATTTATGTTTCATTTTACAATAAATTTAAGTGAATCAGATAAAACAGAAATTAAGAAAACCGCACGCTGTAGTTGAGTCAGCTCCATACAGAATAAATAAGTATTAAACATTAAAATTCATGGCGCCCAACTAAATAAAAATCTAAAACAAAAATTCAATTCAAACATTCATAACAAAAACATAATAATACAGCAACAGAGTATTCTACACATTAAAAATTTACATTAGTCCAATAGTGGATACTTTAAGCATCTGGTTATGATGAAAAAAAATTGATCTAAAGGAATGGAGTTCTTGCTGTAAGGGCAGATCTTAAATTACATCAAAGTTTCTACTTTTTTTTCCTACAACGTACATTCGTCAGTCAATATGAAGTAAAATCTGTCACCAAATACATGATTACAGGACCGAACTTCGAAAATTATGCTCTGTATTAAGCCGATTCCGAGTTTTATGGGGGTTTATTTGTTTTCAGCTTGGCAGAGCAGATACAAAAACCGACCACTTGGGAAAGCGATATTTTTTTTAAGTAATTTCTTTAAGGCCGGTCCTGCCGTCACCACCGGCCGGCCGCCGCTGTCGCGGGCGGACCGGGGCAACGACAGGCGCCAGCGATCGCGCCGGCCGAGACACAAAGGGCCCCGCAAGTGTGGACTAAATAATTCGAACGCGAGAGGTTATAAAATAGGGTGATCGGACTGCTCCCTGCGGCTCAGCGGCCCGATAGATGGGGCCCTCGTAAAAAAACCTCCTCCGGTACCTTCTGCAAGGCGAAATGATGGATTCGGGCTGTCGGCCCGCTAATCACCTCGCCGCGTGAGTGCCTCGTCCCAAAGACCACTTATCAGTACAGGGTGTTCCATTAAGTAAGGCGACGTACGATATTAGAGAAAGTATATTCACTAGAGCTTCGAAAAAAAAATTGGATGAATAATTCGACCAAGACAAACCGCTGGAAATAATTTGCAAGTTCGTAGCTCGGCCGCTAGGAGGCGCAATCTACACACCAAAACATAAGAGTTGAATTTTTCTCAGAAATGTTTCCTATTCTAGGTATATTAAATAGTACAAATATGGATTCATTGCGCATAACTTTTGTAATTGACATTTTGTTCTATCTGTCGACAGAAAGGGTGGGGGAAGCCCCTAATGTCTGATCAGAAAAATGCATTTTTTAAGGTTTGGCACATCAAAAGCCCATATGGCATAACATCACTTTCTTGTTTTTTTTATCCCAGAGAATTAAGGAAACGAAATAGTGTCGAATAAATAAATGTGTAATGCAAATCCTGGTTTGCTTTCATCTACAACCTAATACAAAGTTACCTACTCTATTTCCTGGGTGTTTGTGTAAGTATAAATGAAAACAGCAACAGTTTTCTCATTTGTAAAGTAGTTTTGAAACGACTATTTGCGATGATTAGATGACGATCACGCCAATTAAAAAATAAGAGACAGTGTAACATTTTAATCATTCATTTGTATACACATTTCACAAGTCCCTTATCAAACAAAGTTCCCAGTATCGCGAGATCGATAAAAAGGTGTAGAAGGGAAACTTGTGGAAAATTTTTGTATCGGGAAAGCATGAAGAAAGGCGGATGAGGGAAAACCTAGGGGAAACGAGTTCA